CCCGCCCCAAACGAGCCCGCCATTCTCTGATTGCTGCTCTTGCTGCCACAAGCAATGATCATTATTTGAAGTGATGGCACTGAGCAGCTCTGGGAGCCGTCCCTGTCCCAGCAGGCACTCACGGCCATGGGGCTGCACTCGGAGTCGCAGTAGGTGAGGAGCTCGTAGAGCGTCACCCCGAAGGACCACACATCAGAGGCGATGTAGAACTTGCTCTGCAGCAAACACTCCGGGGCGTACCTGGGGACAGAGGGGACAGCGTCACACCCGGGCACCCAGCCTGCCCACAGCAGCTCCAGAGACACAGCTGCGTTCCTGAGCCTTGCACATAAATTAAAAAGTAATACATCAGGTGTGTTCCACAGCGAGGCACGGTGAAAGCAAGGGGGAAATGTGAAGTGCAGGAAGAAACAAACAGCACAAGAGGTGAGTACAACAGTTCACCAGGTGCCTGTTCCTTGCTCTCCTGGTGTATCTTTACACCACAAGAGGCCTTTTCTAAAACCAGGAGAATCCTGGGGAGTGCAGGAGCAGAGGGGTCCCTGTGGCCAGGCCGTACCAGAACACGGGGCTGTCGCGGTCGTCCTTGACCGTGTAATATTCCTTGTCTGTCTCGATGGCCTTGGTGAGCCCAAAGTCCCCAATCTTCACCCTGTGCTCACTCTCCACCAGGACATTCCTCGCTGCCAGGTCACGGTGCACGTACTGACGGGAGCCCAGGTAGTCCATGCCCTGAGAGAGGAGAAAAGAAGCCTTTCATTTCCTTCTCCTTTATTCCTCCAGTACTTTGATCCCTTTTTCTTCAGTAACTGCTTCCTGACCGTGCTCTGCACTCTCATCTCCATCCCTTTAAACTTCACCTCACTCCTTTCCTCTTGCCAGCACATCCCAAGTGCTGCCCTCCCTCCTGATCTTCCAAATTCTCCCACAGGAACAACTTTTCCCAGCAAACTTTGGGACCTGGAACCTCCTCATCATTCCCCAGCTGATCCTTGTGCCACTGGCACCCAAAGCACAGCAGAGATTGCTTTAGGAGTCTGATCCTTGGGGACAGCAGGAGAATGGGTTTGTTGCTGATGTTCTCCATCCCCCTCACCCAGCTGATGGAGCTGCAGGCTCGGGCCCAGCTCACCTTGCAGATCTGAACTGCATATCTGAGCAGCTGCTTGAGATTGATCTTGTTCTTGTTCCGTGGGAGATACTCCTTCAGGCTCCCGGAGGGAAGGAATTCCATGATGAGTTTAATCCCACTTCCTCCTAGAAAACAGAGCATGTTTGGTTTGCAGACCCTTCTCAACAGCTTCTGTACAAGCCCAGAGCACCAGCAGCATTTTAAACCTCCCACAGCTCATTCCCATCATCCATCCCTGAGCCAATGCACAGGAAAACCTGCTCCAGGCAGGACATTTATAAATTCTAAAGGAAAACCCATACAATTGCTAATTTTCTGCAAGATTTACCATCTTCTGTGCAAATCCCTTTGTATTTGACGATGTTGTCGTGATAAAGATTCCTCAGGATTTCAATTTCCTTCTTGAGGTCAGCGATGTGATTCCCTCCACTCTCTGGCTTCAGGGATTTCACTGCCACCTGCTCCCCGGTGTTGTCACCTTCTGGGTCATACCTGCACAGCTCCACCTTGCCAAAGTGGCCCTGGGAGGGAGAGAAAGGAGAATCCTTGAGGACAACGCTCAGA